GGAATTCGTAGCCGGGGCGGGGGGGGAGGGCGGGCGTGCTGGGAGCTCCCCGAATGAATGGGCTCTGCCTTGTGCCGGGGCTTGTGCCGCGGGAGCCGGTCCCGCAGCGGGTCTGGTGATCCCCAGAGGCCACAATTTGGAAAAATCACCGTCTCTGGCAGGTTTGTGGCTGGGGGGGTTGTGAGTGGCTCTGCCACAGCGTGGGGGTGGGCGAGTGCTGCTGTGGGGCTCAGTCCAGCTGCAGCTCAAGAGTTTAGACGGTGTAAGCTCTTAAGGGCTGTAGAGCTGCAGAAATTCCCTAACCACGCCGTGTGTATATTTGTGAGCTCTGGGTTTTACGGGACCTGTTTGCACACCTTTGTTACGCTCATGTTCTGTGGAGCGTTGGGCTGTTCTTACAGCCCGTTGGTGTGAGTGGGGAGGGTTCTGTGTGAGGGAGCGCGCACTCCCCTGCGCCGCAGAGTCTGTGCTCCCTGCTCTGTTCAGTCTCCAGCCGAGCTGCCTGTCTTATCCCTTCTTCCATCTGTGCTTTGGGCCAGAACCTGCTGGATTTTTCCTGCCAGGTGTGCGATGCGCTTGTTCCCTATGGCTGTGTGGGTCAGGAGGGGCTGAGGCACCGTGCTCCCCCAGCCCTGGGGACATGGTCACCAGTGGCCGTGAGTTGTGCAGAAAGAAAGATTTGCCAAGCCCCAGTGTGTCCCCACGGGGGCCGTGCTGGCTCAGGCACGCTGCAAAGCGCTGCCTTTCAAATGGGCTTGTCCTCACCACGCAGAAACAAACCACCACTTTTATGCTTTCTTAATCTGTTAATTCATTCCAGTCACTCCACGCGCCGATCTGGCTGTGCCTGGGGAATTGGAAGTAGGCTTTTTCAGGTCACCTAGTTACTGGGTAACGTGCTTAAAACCATCTCTTTTCCTCGTATAGCTTCAGACTTGGTTTAAATAAGTTTCTTGTTTGTTGCAGTCGGGCCCTGATGTCTAAAACGTGGCTCTGTGGAGTCACCTCAGCTTAACCAGCCCCTGTGCTTTGTGTGGTGGCTTGGGCCAAGGTGTGGACAAACTTCCACATGTGGTTTATTTAGCAGCAAAGCTGACTGAATGGCTCTACGCCTATTTGTTACTACCCATCCCCTAATTTAGTGGTGATTGCTTGCTTTGTTTTCATGCTAATGGCGTCATTAAGGCGGTGTGTTGGTTGGAAGGAACCCCAGTTTCTCTGGATGAGCTGGGCAGCTTCTCTCCCTCAGCGTTCCCCGCTGCTGGGGAGGAACCCATGTTCTCCACCGTGCCCAGGGGAGCTCTGGAGCCGTGGCTGAGCTCTGGTGCTGTGCTCTTCCAGAAACCTATCGAGTGCCACGTAACGTTCATCTCTGGTGAATGAGTCCAAGGTGGGAGGTGGCCATCAGCCCTGCCTGAAGCACTGCTGGTTTAGGAGAGTGGGAGAACGTGTCTAGTGCTCCGTGAGATGCTCAGGCAGCGAGCGTGGGGACAGCTGGGTGGTGTTGGCCTTTGCAGCAGATGCTGGAGAAGGTGGCCTGTCCCTCTGGGCGCGTGGCTGCTCTGGTGCAGGGGCTGAGCTCCTGAGGCACGGGGTGTAGCAGAAACCCTCCAAGGTGAGGTGTCTGCGTTGACTTCCTAAATCTAGCACCCGTGAAACAAAATTGGTGGCTCCGTTGCTGCCTCTTTGTTTCCATCCTCTGTGACAGCAAATGACATACTTCAGGAGAGAGCTTTTCCTGATCTCGGTTTTTGTGGTGTATTCCTAATGGGCTGTGTTTTTAAATCGCATCAGGTCTAGTAAAGATTTAAGGGGGGGAAAAAAAAAGTCCAGCACGATGACACTGTGATGATTTCATGAATCTCTGTGTTCATAGGGGGTCATTCTTCTCTGTGAAAAGGGTTAGAGTCTGAATTATGTTTAGTTACCCCGTTGACTCAGCCTCAACAAAAAGACCCGCTGTTTTCCTTGAATCCACTCGGTGCACCCTGCAAGTGGTGAATATGAAGTCCCGTTGGTTTTGCCACCTGTGGCAATTTTCTGAAATCCTTCTGGTGGGCTTGTGCTCCCCTCTTTCCTCGGTGCTTTTTTCCCCGAGTTGTCAATGATGTTCTGAAAAGCCTCTGTGCTTGTTTTGTTGTGTGTAGGCGACTGCCGGCGCCGTCTCTGGGCTGTGGGGTGTTCTCAGCCCTGACGGACGCGTGCGCTCTTCTCCCTCTTTCTCAGGAGCTCTTTGCAGAGTTTGGGACCTTGAAGAAGGCAGCTGTGCACTATGACAGATCTGGCCGCAGCCTAGGGACGGCGGACGTGCATTTTGAAAGGAAGGCAGACGCTCTGAAAGCGATGAAGCAGTACAATGGCGTCCCCTTGGACGGTGAGTGCGTGGGGCTGTCTCCCTCGGGGATGTCACCGGCTGGAGCAGCCCGTGTGCCTCCTCCTGCTCGCAGGCTCACGGGCTGCTCTTCCTCCAGGGCGCCCCATGAACATCCAGCTGGTCACATCACAGATCGACACACAGAGGAGACCAGCACAGAGGTGAGACGCCGCACGGCCGCGGGAGAGTCCCTGTGCCCGGCCCTTCTCTGTGTGGGATGCGTGGATCCGTCTCCCCCTTCGGCAAACTTCTGCAGGGCCTGTGAAATGCACTAAACCGGTTGCTTTTTAAAAATCACAGTGTAAACAGAGGTGGCATGACCAGAAGCCGCGGTGGTTCAGGAGGATTTGGTGGTGGAGGAGGCAACAGGCGAGGTACTCGTGGTGGGAACAGAGGGAGAGGCAGAGGAGCTGGAAGAACTTCCAAACAGCAACTCTCCGCAGAAGAACTAGATGCACAGCTGGATGCTTACAATGCCAGGGTAAGTGCTGCTCGGGCACTGCCCGCACGGTCCCTGCGGCATCTCGTGCTGGAAAACACCAACAGCCTGAGGCTGGCAGGAAAGAGAAAGAGTTTTACAGGTCACTGGGCTCAAGCTGTGTCCCTCTAAAGCCTTGATCTGGTAGTTGGCTTTATTTTCCAGAGCACTTTGTCACCTAATGTTACTGATAGCCAAGAAACAGCCCCTTTTCCAGGTCCCCCACTCCTTGGGGCTGAGGCAGGGCAGGCTCTTCCGTAGCTGGAACAGCCGTGGGGAAGAGGAGCTCCGTAACAAAACCCCCAGAGATGATGGGCTGCAGAGATGGAAAAACAAAAAGAAAAGGATTATGAAATAAGTAAATGGGGTGTTAGGAGAGGAGAGGTCAGGGGTGCTGATGGTGGACACGAGCCCTCGCGTACAGAGCCATGTGAGCTGTGTGCTGCCCCCAGAACCAGCTCGGACGTCTCTGCCACACACGGATCAGAATTTTGATAGAGAGCTGGTGGAGAACCGTCATGTCTGTGTGCGGTGATGGCGGGGTTGGGGGAGCGGGATGAAGCTGAGGCGAGACCGTGGGAGAAGCGGGATGAGCAGAATTCGAGGGGGGTGAAAAATGGGTGAGGGAATGCGTGGTATTTTAGAAAAAATCCTTGGCGTTGGGGGCGTGTAAATGGGGGTCACTATGCAGCGGGGTGGGGGGAGCTGTGGTGGGTCACGGGGACTGCGGTGGATCACGGGGGCTGCCTCCAGAGGGGGGGACCGGTGGCGGTGGGACGTGCCCGGTGGCGGTGGTGACACGAGCCCGGTGGCGGTGGTGACATGTGGTGACGTCCCCTCTCCTCTTTTGCAGATGGACACCAGCTAAAGCGGCGGCGGGCGCAGGGAAGGACTGGGATCTGGCTCCCGGGTCCCCCCC